AAGCTTTTGACTCTAGGGCCATTAATGCAGTGTCCTCCCTACCTCTCTCCAATCTTCACCATCACAGCAAAGTCTAACCCATACTTAACACCATTTCTTTTTTTTTTTTAATCAGAAAAAGAAATTCCAGTCATCATCATTTTTTTGTGCAAGGTCTTTAAAGAGCAAACAGATATTCAGAGCCCATATATATTTTCTTCTCTAAGTGGTATTTATTTAAATGCAGACATCCTGGTTTCCCATGTAGAGTTGCAAGCAATACCTTTCAATTTAAATGTTAATGGAAGTGTAAACTTCAAAATCACAGGTTTTTTCCGTGAGGGAGAACTGCTTTTTCTGGTTCTGTTGAATGGCTCTCCTTGACTTTCTTCCTCCACCCTCTCATTACCAGCCCCTTCTGCCCACTCCTTTCCACTGAGCTGAACTAAATTCTTTCTCTAAAAAGTTTAGAATGCACCTTTGTCATTTCAGAAATTAGAGTGTTGAATGTTAGGCCATAGAATACAGATAATGGACTCAAACCCGATGTGATTCATGAGAAGATTTCTCTTTGTCTCAGACTTTGCCTGCGGAGTCCAGCTCATCATTCTGGTTCTTTCCAAGGAGATTATTCTTGGGCTACCTGTGCATAAATAATATTTTCCCGAAGCTTCAGACAAGTGAGTTAGGTTCCCTTTCTTTTTTTTCTTCTTTTCCTCTTTTTTCTTTTTCCTTTTCTAAAAAGGCAGGACAAGATGGGAAAAGAAATACAAGCTATGTAAGTTCCTGAGTGCAGAGGACTGCTATGCACACAGTGAGCAGTCACAGAGAATAAAAATGGCCCTTTCTTAATCCTGAAGGGAAAAGTGACACGTAGGGTAGCCAAGATGGGCAGGAATGGGCGTCTGCCTGGGGGTCATTCCACAGGCAGTCACGCAAGGCAAAACAAAGAGCGCAAAGATTTCAGGACAATGGAGATAATAGCTGTTACCTTTGAATGTGAATATGGCAAATACAATTACCTTCCCGAAGAGACCTCATGGACCCAATTTTGTGTGTGAATGTGACGTCTGGATTCATTTCCTTTATTTTCTCTTCCTTCATTTCCTCATTAATTACTTTTATCCTGTTATACTGTGTGCATTTTGTAAGCCGCCTTACATCTTTTTTTTTTTTTGGAACATTAAAAGGGCTGTTAATTTATAAATTAGAATTGATCTTATAATATAAATTTCAGTGATTTTTATTCTGTTAATTTAAGGTATTATTTTTGATAATATAGATAGTTTTTTTCAATAGTATCCTGTTCTTATTTCATGGAGGCAAAATATGTGTCTTCTTTCATCTCCCTGGAGATATCAACAATATTAATAGTAATAATAGCTTTGAGTTATTATTTCTTCTCCCAGCAGTTTGTTCAGGTTCTCTCTCTGCGGAGAGCTGGCAGTGCCGCGTTGTCTGGTTGGGCCCTGAAGAGCCGCCCGGAAGCTCTGAGCAGCTGGGTGGGCTTGTCAGTGGGGAGCTTCCAGAGTGACTGGAGGGGCTGTGAGGGGGCACCCCCGGCACAGCGTGTCTGGGTCTTTCTCCTGAGCGGGTCAGCACTAGAAAGATCTCTCCAGCTCCAGCCGCCAGGCAGCATCTGGAGTAGAAGGGGACCAGGGTCTCAAGATTCAACATTCCACATGGCAGTAGCTTCTTAATGGCTCCGTGTGCAACGACTCCTCCGTGCTGCCAGCCAGCCCTCACCTGAGCTCGTCGACCCGCAGCCTAAGTACCCCCACACCAGGGGTGTGGAATGGCTGAGGAGACATAGGGATCCAGTTCCATGTCAAGCCACCTCCACCAAATCCTTGTTTTATGTCCTGTCCCCATCCCCGTCCCATGCCCCCACACCATAGCCCCCAACCCCGCTTACTTCCTGATCCGGAGGAAGCTGCTGGCGCAGTTCCTGGGCCTTCCGGGCATTCGGCAGGTGCAGTCTGGCTTCCCTGCTGTGGGCCTTGGGTCTGGCTCAGGGCTGCAAAGTCACGTGCACTGCCCACCCTCTTTAGTCTCCAGTCTTTTGTTGCTACTGTCATCGTCTGCCTTCCTATTTTTCCCATCCTTGTGGATTTCTGTCTTTAAAAAAAAGCTACCTATACTTCTGACTTTATTTGGGAGGAAGAAATACTGGATACACGTTTCAGTCTGCCATGACTACCCAGTAGGTCTTTAATCACATCATTTATTCTCCCGCACAACTCAGCAGCCCAACCCACTCTTCTCTCACTTCACCGGGTTGGGACTGTTTGTCAAATATTTAACATCTTTGGCCCTTGCTTTCCTAACATGTAGAAACAGGAGTATTTCTTATCCTACCTACTTTAAAAGTGTTTGCGGCAGCTGCCCTGAATTGCCACAGGTCTAAGGGGAAAAAAAACAAATTGTACGTGCACAGCTCTGGCAGAATCATGCTCACGTGGTGATGGTGGAAATTGTCCTGGGTCAGTGAATATCCTCACGCCTGACCTCTGGTTTGCATCCTCTTTTCCTGATAAACAAGGTAGTATGTTCCTCAGCTTGTGTTGACAAAGTGTCCCAGGCTGGGTTAGAGGGCCACAGTCCTCCCAGACCTGAGAGACACGTGACTATTATCTGTAACTTTTGGAGGAGGAATTGTTCCCTCCATTTCCCTGCCTTTCCCCTTTTTTCTCTGTTTTCTCCCAAGTAAAACCCTTTGCATTCCTCCCGTAACACTGATAGCACTCCCTCTTTTTCTGATTTGCGGTTCTTTCCTCCTGCCCAGCCCCCTTTCCCATCCCTGGCCCAGTGGACCCACCTTGTGTGACACATTATCCACTTAATACCCCCAGGCAGTGCCCCTGTTCCCATGGGTCTGCAGAGCTTGGAGACCCACAGGGCCTTCCGCGAGCAAGGCCAAGCAGAGCAGGGAGCAGCCCTATAGCTTTAGCAGGCTGTCCATCTCCAGTGCGGTCAGGGAACCCAGATTTCCCCTAGAAACCCTCCGTGCACTGAAAAGGGAACCTAAGGCCTCACAGGGGCGTAGGAGAGAAATTTCATGACTTACTTAAGGGGATAAAAGCCTCCTTTACAATGAAAATTCCCTGAATACCCTGACCCCTCTTTCCCCACTCCCACCACCTCCTCTTGCTCCTTGACTGCATTGGAGAGTGGACTAAGCATCAACAGCAAAAAGTACACCATTTCCAGGAATCTGTCCAAATGGACTCACATGTCAAGAGGGGACCCTTACCCACCGAGGGGGCAGCTCAGGCCTGTCTCACCCAAGAGCCTGCAGTGGCGGCGGAGGAAGGGGTGAGACTGGTGGCTGCACAAAAGGCTTTGTGGGGAGATGGGGGCCAGAGGACCAGAGGCAGGTGAATAAGTGGTGGCAGCCCAAGCAGCAGGAACGTTCCTTCCCTTATTTGCAGCTGGCTGCAGATGACTGAGCAGAAAGCAAGGGACCAGCAGGAAGCCTGGCCCGTTGGCTGTGCTCACGTGGTGCACTCACTCCTATGACGCATTTGGCGATCTGAGTGGTCTGTAAGGTGCAGCGTGACAATTAGGCGTCCTTGGCAGGTCACATAAATGATAATGCACATAGCTCTAGCTTGCCTGCGGCCGGCATCCCGGGTCAGCGGGCCGGGGAGGAAGCTCGTAGAACAAGGGGCAGGAACCTGTGGGTGGATGGGTCTGTGGATCTCTGCCCCAGTGACAGGGTCCTGTCCTGCTTCCTGTCCAGGGGGAGAGGGCCAGGAGTTGTCAAGCCAGACTGCTAGGATCTGACATGGCTCCCAGCGGGGGAATGGAGTGAGGGAGAGGAATCGAAGGGGGGGCTGTCCTAGTAAGGTTTGTGCATCTGGAGTGTCCCCACAGAGACCTGTGGGGCCTTTGTTCCTCAGGGATGAGAAGAGGGTATCCTTGTTTGTGTGGAATGTGATAGAACTCGCCGTGAGGCACCCCCTCCCTCCTTCCCCTCCTTTGAGAGAAGGAAATGCCCATGGGGTCCTCCAGGCTGCTCCACAATGCCTCCCACACCCAGGGCCAGAGGCCTGGGAAAATGACTTTGCTCCTCTTTGGCACCCCATTGGCAGGGTCTGGGCTGGGGCTGGCGGGTAGGCTCAGCTGTGAATGGGTGGGCTTCACACAGGTGGCAGAGGTGGGCTGCGGGTGGGTGGTGGGTGGAAGGAGTCCACACCGCTGGTGAGGTGTTTCCCAGGAAGAAGAAGAGAGACCGGATGCCAGGGAAGGGGTGTGTGGCCGGTGGGGTGGGGGTGCACCGGAGGGCAGTTGGGGGAGCTGGGGGGAAGCTGAGTGAGCACGGTGCTGAGTGAGGCTGCCTGGCATGTGGCAGCAGCCGTGCCCTCTCCCTCCCCCTACGGACAGCCCTCCTCTGCTTCCACTCCGGACTTTGCCTGGCAGGTTCCGTGTGGCGTGGAGCAGGGAAAGCTGGGCGGGCCCTGAGTCCAGAGGTTGAGGGGGCTGCTCAGAGGCTCCGTCTGAGAGCAGGAAGGGCTGCAACCCCACATGCAAAAACAGCTGAGCCCCTGGGAGGCCACCTGGAGGGGAAGGAACAGGACATGCCAGCAGCTTCCTCCTCACCGTGGCCCTCCGGTGAGATCAGCTGGTTCTGAGAGGTGCATGATGCTGGGTTGGGGCCCGGGAGCCCTGCAGATCCAGGGTTAGTGCGCCATCTCAGCCCTGACGAGCTGCACAACCTTCAGCAGGCTGCTCCATCTGGAGCAAAGGAGGCCAGTAAGAACTGACACCTGTGGTGGGGACCACCTCTCTCTTTTCTCATAAACCAGGCTATCCTGGCATGTTTCTGTACATGAAAATAGTCACCATCCGGAGCAGTGTTCTCTGCAAAGGAAGCTCAGTTGTGCAGCTTGTCTGTGAAGGTCAGGCTACCTTCCTGCTCTTGTGGTGCCTGCCCTCTCCCCCGTGGCCCAGGGCAGGGTGTACCCTGACCCTGAGTTCCAGGCTCTGATGCTAATTGGCGCCTGCCTGCTTCCCCACAGACCTGCGCCGGATGACGGCTGGCTTCATGGGCATGGCGGTGGCCATCATCCTCTTCGGCTGGATCATCGGCGTGCTGGGCTGCTGCTGGGACCGAGGCCTTATGCAGTATGTGGCCGGGCTTCTCTTCCTCATGGGAGGTAAGGCGTGGGGGCTAGGGGAAAGGCCCTGGTGACTGTGGTTCTGGGAGAATGGCTGGGAACACTTGTTTTTTCATTCATCAAACATTTTTAAGTTCTCCTTAGCCACTCACCACTGTGCCAGCTGATGGGGATGTAAGTAAGGTTAATAAGGCATGGCCCTTACTCTTGGGGGTCTGACTGCCTGGTCTGGGAGAGGCTGTGGGGACTGTGGCATGGACAGAGGTATCAGCCCCGCGTGAGCAAGAGCCCAGGAAATACTCAGGCATTTTATACACATACTAGACTGTGGGGTGGGAAGGAGGTGTTCCCTGGAAAGTTTTCTCTTCAAAAGCCCATCCTTAGCCTTGACTTATGTCTTAATGCTGCTCGCACTGCAAAGGTGGTAGGCCAGGCTACACCTTCTCTCACGCCTGCCTCCCTTACTCTCTGGTGCTGTCGTGGCCGTAGAACTAATCTGGCATCCTTATGAAGGGAGCGGAGATTGAGAACTGTATAGCTGCATGGGCATAGGTTCCAGGCCCTGGGAATATACATGTGCCTCTCTTCTCCCTGAAGACCTAACAGGTGCTTCTTAATCTCCTGGTCGGAGTCTCTGTCCAAATCTGAAGCTGACATTGGGTGACCTGCCGCAGTCTACTCCTCAGAGGGAAGTGGACTGATGGCTTGTGTGGAGCTAGGTAGAAGGGAAGTAGGCTGGGCACAGGGAGTAGAGGCGTTTATGGGAAGAAAGGAAAGCGGGTCCTGCAAATAGAAACAACTGTCAAACCTAACGCACCCCATATACATTCTCAGTGCAGGTCCCTTCTGTGAACGCCTGACTCTGGGTGCTGAGCAGAGGGGTGGGGGTGGAGTGGGTGAAGCGGGGAAGGGGCAGCTTCCCTCCAGGTGCAGAGATCTCTGGGGCTAGTGAGCTCTGGGCTGAAGAGGAACGGCAGGGGCCTGGAGGTCTACACTGCTTCTCCTGAGGCTCCACCATTCTGGGCCAGACAGGTCAGGGCTTCCTGGGGAGCCCCAGGCCTACCGAACTCTGGGCCCTCAGAATCAGGTGTCCCGGCCAGAGCTGCCTACCCCTGTGTCCCCCCTGCGGGTACGGCGGAGGCTAGGGGAGTGCTGGCCACTGGTGGCTCTCTCCCACAGTCCCCACACCCTGCCTTCAGGTCTCCCACGGAAGCAGAGGCCATACCACCATCCCGCCTAACATTGCCGTGCCTTTGTGTCCTCGGTAAAACAAGGGGTCAGACCCAGCCTATGATTTCCATCCTCTGTTTTAGCTGCTCTGGAATCCTTTTTGTTTCCACCTTCTCATCAAAATCTTCCATGGACCCTGAAATGTAAAAAGATAAAAGTGTTGTGGCTCTGTTTGCAGTGAGTGTTCTCCCTAAGACTCCTCTGATTTTACAAAGACAAGCTCCAGTAAGATGGGGCTTTTCTAAGGCTCTAGAAAGGCCTCCCAGGAATCTGGGAGAAGCTGAGCAAACAGGCCACGGGCAGAGCAGGATTCCTGCGTGCGCTGGGAGCCGACATCCCTTCACCCCCACCTCTCTCGTGGAGCTCGCAGGCTCTCCTCTCTCCTGGCTTGCCAGGCCAGGCCCCTGCTCACCTCCCTTTTAGCTCTGACAGCTGCCTTTTGGGCTGCTTCAGTCAGCTTCAGACAAAGAGAGAATGTGATTGGCCCATTTATCCTTTCTGGCCAGGCCACACACCACCAGCCAGACAGTAGAGGGCCAGGACTGAGTGGCAGTGTCTGGGCCGATGGCTGTGACTGGGGTGGGGTCACCCAGACACATCCTGCCCACCCAAGACTCCAGTGGGGACCTCCCCCAGAAAGGGGTGCGGGGCAGACAGTGAGGCCAGCAAGATGAGGGCTCTGGGGAAGGCAATCTGAAAATCCTTGGGTTTGATTAGGAATCAGAGGCCCCTCCCTCGAGGGTGCCTGTCTGAGGGCTTTGCTTCCCTTCTGCCCAGGTAGCAGTTCTCAATCACCACACATTCCAGTAGCCTGGAGAGTTTTTAAAAAACATTGATGCGGGGAACTCACCCCAGGCCACCCAGGCAGAACTTGCGGGGGTGAGCCGACTACATGCAGTGAGACCTGGTGGAGTGGATGAGCTCCAAAGTCCCAAAATGGCAAGGTTCTGGGGATGACCCAGTTGGCCAAGACTGCTCATGATTTGTTCCCTTTCTTCCCTTCCCTCTCCCACTTCCTGTGACTCTCTTACAAAGCCCGGTGCAGGTGCTTTCACAGGGCTCCACTTATTACTGTGGAGACCTCTCCAAGCGCTGGTCACTGAGGTGCCCAGCTAAATCTGCTTTCTAGGACATGCACTTTAGTTTTTCATGATAAAATGTTAGCATCCGGCAGAGTTTTGGGAAAGATGCTATACTTTGAGCTATTTCTCGCTGCTGGGGGTTGGAGAGAACCTATCCCCTCCACTCTGGAGCTTTGCTACCTGTGTCCATAGGTAGAGTGATACCCTCCCTGTAGGGGCTGGGAAGGGAAGTGGTGTTCACACACCTCATGGGTTCCATCAGACCAGGCCCGCAAAGGAAGGGAAGGACAGAACCACTAAGGGCTGATTCCTTGAATGGTGGTCATTTGGGGAAGACAAAGCTCCAAACGGTGGGCAGGCACTTTCCCTTGTCAGGTTAGGGCCCTTACCAGTGTCCTTTCCGAGGCTTCAGGAGCAGAGGCTGTAGCTCCCCATCCCTTCTCAGCAGAGAGCACAACAGAGAGGCTGAGGTGTGGTCCCTGAAATGGTGCCTTGACCTACAGGACGGTGTGTCAGAAGGAGACGTGCAAGCACCAGCTCCTCCCAGAACCTGACCAGTGCCTGCCCTCGAGCAGGTAACCTGGGGCTGGCCTGATGGCTCAGCTTCCTGTGACAGCCACCTTGTGAACATGTCAACCAGTCAGGCACTCAGACTATCAATATTATGGCAAAAGGGGACAGAAAGGCCCTATGACCTTGGCTCTCACCCAGATGGGCATTTCAGGCTTTAGGAACTGAGCACAGCCTGGGGCCCAGGAGCAGCTTGGGCTCCAAGTGGCGCTGGGCTGGTGAGGGTAGGGGGAGTGAGAGGAGGAGGAAGGGTCAGCAAGAATAAAAAAGGTTGGCATCTAAAGGGTCTAAAGATGGAGTTGCAGTTGACTTCAGATGAAACTACCTGGGCCAAAATAAAAATGGAAGAATTCTGTTAGCAACTCTTATCTGCAAAGTGAAGAACGGTGGTCTACACTGGGCACAACTCCATTCCAGATTTAACTGTTTTCCAGGTTAAAGAGAGAGCGCCCTTTACCTTGTGAAATAATGAGCAACAAATTGTTTCATTAACACTCTGTGCAAAGGAGGCAATTAAGTAGAGCAGCTTGGCTGGCCCAGGAGGCTCTGGGGGTGGGGGTGGGATCCAGTCTCCCCTTTGGCAGGGCCTCCAGGGAAGAAGCTGGCCCAGACTGGCACCACACCATTCGGGTACCAGCAGTTTCCAGGCACAAGTGTGTTGAATCATCAGTGGTATTCAGAAGCCAGGAACAAGATGACACGGGGGAGACGCGTGGCGATGGAGCGTGTGACTGCTATAGTTCCTTGTGATTCACTCTCTGGGTGAACCTCAGAGCCACCCCATGGACACGGATCTCGAAGATAAGCGGGCACATCTAGCCCCTGCCCCCCATCAGCGCCCCTCACACATCCTCCTGCACTCCTGGGAGACACACATCGCCTCTCTGCCCCCACCCGGGGCTGAAGCCCCCTGAGCTGTGTCTGGGCTGATGCTGGGCCCCCTTAGGCTCCTCTGGGCTGTGGCAGTTTCTCGGCCTCCCTTGTTGGTAATGACCTCACCAGTTTTGAGGAATGCTGGCCGTGTATGTCATATGCCCTCCTCCGGGAACTTGTCTGCTACTTTTCTCTTGATGAGACTGGGTTGTGGGGTCTGAGGAGGAAGATCCCAGGAACAGAGTACCATTTCCACCACATCCTTTCAGGCTACCTCTTACGACCATGACTTACGACTGTTGAAGTTGCCCTTGATCACCTGGCTGAAGTAGCGTGTGTCAGGTTTCTGCGCTGTGAGGGTTTCTCTTTTCCCTGCTTCCCAACTGTCCTTTCAGGAAGGAAGTCACTCGGAGATTTCTCTCTCCTTCCCGATTTATTAATTTATTCAATCATTTATTTATATCAGTGTAGACTTAGGGATATTTATTTTTCACTCTGGGTTATAATCAGATACTATATTCATTGTTCCAGTTCATACATTTGGGCCATTGGGAGCTCTTTCAGTTGACCCCTGAGCCCCTTGGACAGACTCCTAATCAGTGTGGAATTCACTCTTTTTGATGGTGGTGGTTTGGTTTTTGTTTTTTGAGCACTTCCTTACTTTCTGGCACTACAGGGTGCTCCAGGCTCATCTTACATATTTCCTGCCCCAAACCTAGAATCAGCCATTTCTCCAAGGAGCCCTGCTTCCTTTTATTGGAAAATGGTCTGGGCACTAGGTGTCTGCAGTGTTTTTAGAATTCTGTATTACTCAGTACCTCTCTCCCCAACTTGGATATAAACTCTATGAGCCCCAGAACCTTGTCTGCCTTGTTCTCTAAGGTGTCCCCTATGTTGCAAACAGTGTCTGCATTCTCAAATGCAGTATTGCAAAAGTGCGCGTATTGCAAAAGTGAATTATGTGCAACATGGAGAGAGAGTGGTTTATCTCGACTGAGCAACAGTCCTCCAAGAAAGTATGCCCTTCTGTTTCTGGTCTGCTCTTTCCCTTTCCCTGGGGTTCCTTATCTTCTTTCTGTCTTTCCTGGAATGGTCATAGGGTCTGTGCACCTCTGGCATGAAAGGTCTCAAATTCCCTTTGGAAGTAGAGTATAAATTATACATGAATTCATGAAGAATTGTCTGTCTTTCATTTGGACTCAGAATGTTAGAAATGGAAGGGACCTTAGAGAACATGCAGTCTGATGTCCTCATGTTTCCAGATCAGAGTAGTTCTGTCAGTTA